AGTGGAGCCATCACCAAACTACTTAAAACAATCAGCACAGTAATTTCATAATTTCTGAGAAATAGTGATGGTGGTTATGAAAATACAAGGTAACCAGGAAGGATTAGCCCACATATTAATTCGTTTAGCAAGTGTTTAATATTTATCGATTGCCTGTTTGCATAGCATTATGTGTGGCACTGTTTCCTTTAAATAAGCAAGGGAAAATAAAAAGAGAGACATCATCAGAATCATAACCAGCAAGGGTGTGAACTATGAAAACAGAAAACCTAATACAATAATGTTCCTTTAAGTGTTCATTTTAAAACAATTAACTACTTAACAAAAGAGAGGGCAGGGAAATTCAACTCATGGTGTGGGATGTGCAAAGATGAAATTAGATAGAATAGTATACTGTCCTAGGCCTCAAAGTACTTAAAAATTCAGTACACTAAAGTGTTAGAGACAAATTATATTGCAATCAGAAATGAAGAAAAAGCATATTCAAAATTATGATCAGATTAGGAAAAAAAAAGATATATGCTACATTTGGCCAACTGGTAGTTTTATTAGTAACAATATTTCTTCCTACCCTTCCACCAATTGTAATCAGTTCTATGTTCAGCCTATGCAAAGTGAGAGTTTAATCTAAAAAAAAAATGGTTCTCTAGATTGTGAATGAGATTATTCTGCAAGTTTATATTTATAAAAAAGGCAAAGGTAAAAAACCAACAAAACACCTTACTTCATAACCATTTTTTGCTCTAGTCTCAACTGACATGATATCTTAACAAGCACAATATGCAGTAGCTAAGATGTAAGAGAAATTCTAATGAACCCATTTCTACTAAAATACTTCAAAGTATTTTGTTTAATACAACCCATGCATATGGCATTTCAAGGAATGTGAATAGATTATTCATACAAATAATGTAATGTACTTTCTATGTATACACAAGCAAAGTATGAAATTCAATTTTAAAGGTCTGGGAAATTTAAGGAAATACCTTTATGGCAATAGTTTTATTATTCTTTCAACATCATAGAGATATGCCTCATTATTTAAGAAAGTTATTCACATCCCTTAAATAGTACATGTACATCCTACATACTGCAGAGGTACAGTAATATGTTATTATTACAGCATAATTTACAGCACTTGACAATGCATTAACCATACAGATACAAGTGATAATATGAAGATTATGGAAATTACCTAATGATCCTGGGGCATGACTGGATCCTTCTTATCCTTAAGTCTCAGCTTGAATGTCCCCTCAAAGAGGCCATCCCTGATTACCCCATCTAAATTAACCCTGCCTCAGTCACTATCACATTACCCAGCTGTTCCATGCACTTACCAGTAACTGAAATTATCTTGTTTATTTCCTTGGTTTTTGTCTGTCTTCCTCCGCCAAAACGTAAGCTCCATAAGCACAGAGACCTTCTCTTCTCAGTCTTGCTTACTGAGTCCCCATTACACAGAACAGTGTGCAACACACAGTAGGCACTTGATAAAAGTATTGAATAAATGAATTAGGGTAATTAGCTCAAACAATAATGTAAACCAGGAGAAAAAAGAAACTAGCAAGGAAGACTGGAAATTTACAGAACAGTAGTTTCACAGATGACCCTATTCCCAGAGAAACCGGTACTCTAAACTGCAAAGGTAACCATTTAAAAAGTGAGCAGTCCACATCCCATGATTAAGCAAGAGGGCAGTATGTTTCCCACACCACAATTACCACTGTCAGCAAGGTTTTATTTTAAGGGAGCCTTGACTACAAGGCCACCCCAACCACAAATCTACTGCCCCATACTTGACCATCAGGCAGTACTGGTCCACTTCCATTAATAATCTGTCATCTGCAACAGGTTCAGACATGCCTTGTCTTCACCATTTATACCATAGAGTACTACTGACCCTTTTCCAAATGAGCCTGTTTGCAAACCCTACAAACTCATGGTCCTATCCGCTTCCTACCACTGCTCTGCCAGAAATGTCACTGAAGGAAACGGCAAAAGTAACGCAAAACAGATTCTGCTGTTTTCAGATCCTAGCTGGTTCCTTACCCATCATTCCCCTCAAAACATAAACTTCTTATAGAAACACTAAAGGGGAAGATTTCTTATTCAGGCCCATACTAGCTGTATGTTCTTGGTCTCTGTTTCCTCATCTGTAAAACAGGGATCATCACGGTATCTGTCTGAAAGGGATTTTGCGAGAATTCAATGAGCTAATGCATGTATGGCAATTAGCATACTGCAGAACATGCAGAAAGCAACAATAAATGGGGACTAGTTTTTTTTACCAAGAGGATAATGATGATTTTTATCATCAGACTATGAACTCCAGGTGGGCAGCAACAGTGTTTGGTTCCTAGTAAGATTAGATATAACTTAAAATCACGGAAAGAGGCTCGGACCGGCCAGCTGCCAAAAAACAAACAAAAAACAAAAACGGAAAAAAAATAATAATAACAAAAGCAAACATGGGAAGGAGAACAACTTCTTCATTTCGCTGTCTCCAGACCCCTCCCCATCAAATCAATCTCTAGGCGGCTGCCGTTTGCCTAAACTGGGGCTAGGGGACTGGGATTAAAAACAGATAGGAGAAGCAAAGGGTGAGAACCACTTAGCAGCAGCAGGGGCGATCAGGAGAACACGCTTTATTATCCTCACGCCTATGCCCCAGAGTCGCAAAGGCGGAGTAAAAAGCGCTCCTAGGGACTTTGGTTTGGTAACCAAGATTCCGAAATGGCCAGTGCACGCCCCGGGGTCGCCTCCCTCTCCAGCACCGAGGAAGGGAAAAGAAAACCGCCCCCAACAGTTTTACTACCAGGATTCTGGAGATTCTGCGGCTCCGGCCCGAGTTTATTCGCCGGGCAACCTCTTTCCTCACCCCAGCGCCCCACGCCCACCTCCTCTGATGACAAGGCTCCATCCCAGGGCCCACCAGGCGGTGCCAGCATCCCAGCATCATCTCAGCTCCCGGAGCCGCCGGCCCCGGGCACCAGCCTCCCCACACCCGGCGCCCGTCCAGGGGCTCGCGGCCCGGGAGCCCAGCACCCAGCCCGCTCTCAGTTTCTCAGGGCGCCAATTCCGCGTCGCCAGGTCGCCTCTCAGCCCGGATCCGCTGAGGGTCGAGCCCCCTCCTCATGCACACACCTGATCCCCCACGGCCCCGTCAGCTTTTCTCCCCTCGCCACGGGCCTTGCCAGGAAGCAAATGGTTCAAATGGTACCGACAGAGCGCAGCTCCGTCCGCCGCCGCCTTCTCCTTCTCCCCGCCATATTATGGGTCTCAGGGGGCAACGCGGGCTCCTGGCAACCGCCGCCGCCGCCACCTCCCAGACTCATGATTTTACCTTTCTTTAAAAATTTTCCTTTAACACATCTATCACCTTCTAATGCACTATATAGTTTCTTATTATGCTATTTTCTCTCTCTGTCTTTCTCTCTTTCTCCGGGTCTCAGGCGGCAACGCGGGCTCCTGGCAACCGCCGCCGCCGCCACCTCCCAGACTCCACCTCTCGGGGCCGGTACTTCCGCTGGTCGCTTTCCCGGGCAGTTGCAACGGTTGCACCTCCAGAAAACTACAGTCCCCGAGGTGCATTGCGCTCCCGCTATAGAGGACGTAGTACTTACGGAAGCGCGGTGCACGCTGGGAATGTAGTCTTCACTGCAAGCCAGCAACTGTACAATTATACTTTGTTATAGAACTATGCTTAGGGTCTGAAGCCCCGTGAAGTGTTCCTTGAAGTTGCCATTTTTGTTTATCTGTATAGAGATAACCTCTTTCTGTGTGGTTGTTGGGAAACATAAAACATTCACCAATTTTTTTTCTCTGTAGATAAAATATTGTTGACTCCTAGATGTCAACTGGAAGGAAGCCTTAAGACGTCCGTACCCTTTTGCAAATCAGTGGGAAATTACTCCAGGAGAAAAAGATAACAGGTTCAAGATGGCAGAAAAAGCCCTGACTCTTTTGCCAAAGTTCCCGATCTAAATAACATGTTACCAACTTTCCAAAATATGATTTAGTGGTTCTTTTCCATTCCCTAACTCAGCTTTACCTTCTGCCTCTCTTACTGATCCTCTTGCCAGTGTCTATTTTTGCATATGTAAAATGGGGGTTTTAAAAGTGCTTATCAAAAGGATGGTTGAGAGGCACAATTGAGATAAATCTTGCACAGGGCCTGATACCTAACCCTGCAGTAGAAGATGAGGAAGATGAATAGCAGTGGAAATGTCATAAGCCACTGGAGTGGCTTGATGTCAGTCCTAATCCTGCCATTTATTGCTCAGTCCTCTTCACCTTTCCGCAGTTTCGTCGTCTATAAAATGAGGGAATCATTAAAATCCCTTCCAGTTTTATAATTCAATTGTGCCTCCTTTGCTATGTTCTTTCATTCCTTCAGAATCTAGAAAGTCCTAAAGTCGACAGAAACCAGTCTCCTTGAGGTAATACTTCCCTACTGAGGCCGTTGTGAGAATAAATAAGATATACATATAAAGTGTTTGCTGGCACAGTACCAGGGGCATGGTATGTGCTCTGTAAATGTTAGCTGTACTTGCTAACATTGTTATTTGCCCACACGAGAATTAAGTCCCACAAGAGCAGACACCCCGTTCACTGCTGCGTCCCGAGCACCTGGACCAGTGTTTGGCACATCGTGAACTGAGTTGAATAAATAGTCTAAGCGTCCTGCCCCTTCAAGATTCCCTGGACTTCAATTTCCTTTGAACATAAAAGGCAGATATAGGAGTCACTAAGATCCCTTCCAGCCTTCAGCCGTAGAACGCCTCGTCCCCTTCCCTTCTCCTCTACGGAGTCTGAACGCCCTGGTTAATGTCGCGACCCCCTATATCACCCAAAGCCGCATTGGAACAGGAGCCTGGGGCCCGGGACCGCCCCCGTTGCCATGACAGTAGCCCCGCCCCCTAGCGCTGGAGAGCCGGGCCCTGATTGGCTGGACGGTCGGCTCCTCTCAGGATGTGTCCGCTGCCGCCATAGTGCGGCGCTGGTCCCCTCGGAGGGTGTCAGCTACGGCCACTTCCTTGGGCTCCTCCCTCGCTTCTCACTCTTCTGTCCTGGGAGCCCGGCGGGCCCGGGGCTCCCGTCCGTGCCGGTGCGGGCGCCGGCATGTGGCTGTGGGAGGACCAGGGGGGACTCCTGGGCCCCTTCTCCTTCCTGCTGCTGCTGCTGCTGCTGGTGACGCGCAGCCCCTTCAATGCCTGCCTCTTCACCGGCAGCCTCTACGTCCTGCTGCGCGTCTTCAGCTTTGAGCCGGTGCCCTCGCGCAGGGCCCTGCAGGTGCTCAAGCCCCGGGACCGCATATCCGCCATCGCCCACCGCGGCGGCAGCCACGACGCGCCCGAGAATACGCTGGCGGCCATTCGGCAGGTGAGTCCCCCACGCCTCGTGCCCTTTGGTCCTCCTGAGAGCTCGGACTTCTGCTGTCCTTCGAAAGATTCCGCGGCCTTCCCCCGATAGATAGCCTGCCTTCCCAGCTCCCCATTCGTCCGAAGGAATACATTCCGGTGATCCTTGATCGCTCGCAGTGGTAGGAATCTCCCGATTTCAGCTACCTATAGAATACAACCGGTATTTCTGTAACTGCTACGTGCCAGACACTGAGGTTACAGCCACGAACAAGACAGAAAGAGTCCCCGCTTTACAGAGCTGGCATTGGAGTGGGGAGACAGGCTTTAAACAAATAGACATAAGAGACAAAGACAGTGAAAAGTGCAATGAAGAAATAGGGTGACGTGATAAAGAATGACGGGGGGCTGAGTATGCTATTTTAGACAGAGTCGTCAGTGGAATCGTCTATGAAGAAGTGACATTTGAACGGAAACCGGAATTATGAGGAGCCCGCCATGGGTTCTGGGGGAAAAGTGTTCCAGGAAAAGGAAACAGCAAATTCAAAGCTCTTTGGGTGGGGATGGTGTAGGAGTGTTCGGGTAACAGAAGAAGCAGTATGTGGCCTGACTTCAAGGAACAGAACAGAGGCTGGTGTGTGAATGAAGTAGGAAATGGGCCAGGTCAGGGAAGGTCTTGGTCAGTAATTGAGGTCGTTCTAAATGGATCACACTTCACAGATGTCTTTGCTTGTCCTCTAAATTACTTGAGTCACCTCCTTATCACTTTTCCCCCAAAAAAATACACATTCACACCCACACAACTCTGGCAGCCAGACTCATGATAAATTTTCGCCTCCCTTTTTTTCACAAGGCACTTGATAACTCCTAGCTCTTGGCAGTCTCCTGACTTCATGTCAACACGCATAGTAAGAGAACTTTTTAGTGGATTAGGTACTTTTGCATCTGTGTAAATATATCTTATCCTCTCATTTCTTTGAGACGTTTTAACGATGAATGAGTGGAAAAACTCTAACTCAAATGCACATAGCTCCTTATAGAATTTAGCCTTCTGATTCTAAGTCCCAGTGCTCTTTGTCATAGATTAGAATATGTTCCAAGATGTAGAAACTTGGACTGCCTGTTGTTTCTTTGTTCAGCTAGGGACAGACAGTATTGTGTAATAAGTAACTTACTTAAGCTTCCTGTGGCTCAGTCAGGGTCATGACTAGGGTGCTGCAAGCAAGGGCACCTCTCCTCACCTGAGTCTCAGCCCTGGCCTCAGTTTCCCCATCTGTAAAATGGGAATAATAATGGTATCTACCAAATAGGTTGTGAGGATTCAATGAATTAATCCACATAAAGTAAGGCCTGGTAAGACCTCGGCAAATGGAAGCTATTTATGTCAAGAATCTAAAGATGGCTTAATTCTTTAAAATCATCTCAGTGTAAAGGTAAAAAATTTAAGTCTTAAGAAGGAAGTAGGTCAGGAGAGCACCTTTTGAGTTAGTGGAAGGCACGTGAATTTTTGTGTGTAGCCAAGATAAACTTTTAGGCTTCTCTCCTCTTGATTCTTTGTGATGGAAGGGAGACAATAAGAGCACCTTTTCTAGTCTCCTATTTAAAAATAAATCTAAAGATATTGAAGAATGTATTTTACATTTTTAACTTAAACTCAGAGAGGTCAGATGAGGTAACATACAGGAGATAGTATTGTCATGGAAAGAAAGGTGGTAATTACTATAGGAAAAAAAGGACAATTGTCCTTGGCTTCCATTTCAAATTGCCTTACGTAAATTGCCTTAAAGTATAGCTTAATGTTAATTGACCACAGAAAGCATTCATAAGAATTTACTGATAGCAGTGGTAGTTTGGTCAGGAGCATGTTTGACTGAATATAAATAATATTAAGTGAATGAAGAAACATGTATGTGAAATACACATGCACGTATAGTGTTTCATAGCCTGTTGTGTTGCAAGAGAATTATAGCTAAATTCTATTCATGTCTTGTATGTTGAATGTCTTTATGTAATATAATAATGATAATAAATATTGGGCCAAATGATTCCTGGTCTTAAGAGGAAATGAGATATGGTAACTCAACTTGTTAGAATACAAAATCGTTATCAATGAACTTCTTAGCCATAACATTATTTAGCTGCTGAATACAGACTGCGGAAGACAAGGCTGTGTCCTCCCTCTTGACTTCAAAATAAATAGTTTATTTCCATCAAAGTTTGCTTTTTGTCCTATCTTGTTTTTTATCCCTTTGCATGTTTGCAGCTCATAATTTATATTCTTAAACATTTTACTATGTGAAAAATCAGGAAAGATGTTCTGACAGTGGTAGAAGTTTTGATAGATTATAAACTAGATATAGAATGGAAAACTTAATAAATGTGAAATGAATGTATTCCAAAAACAAATACACTATTATACACAGTGGCAAAAGAATTACACTCCCAGATCATCCTCCACACAGGGGCCAGAGTGTACCTATAAAAGTTTAAATCAGATTATATTCTGCCTTTATTTAAAACCCTCCTGTGGTTTTCTATTGCAATTACATAAAATCCAAACAGCTTTCTATCTTGTGCCTTTCTCAAAGCCCCTGCTGTCTCAATTCCAACCACTCTGGCTGTTTGTTAGGATGTTTTCAGCTTCTTATAGTAGAAAATCCACCTTCAAATATCTCAAACAATAAGGGGACTTATCTCACATAACAAGAGGTGTGCATGGGACAGATGGCCTCCAGGATGATTGATTCAGCTTTTCAGTTTGTGATCATGGAGGAACTGGGTTCTGTTGATCCATCAGCTCTGCCATGTGCAGCATATTTGCTAACCTTCATTGTAGTTGCCAGGTGACGAGTGCCACTCCAGGCATCACATTCGTAGACACCAGTGTCCAATCTCAAGGAAAGACTCCACTCCCTCTTGCTGTGTCTTTCCCAGAAGTCTCCTTCCTTTACACACACACACACACACACACACACACACACACACACACACACACACACAGATTGGGAATAGTCCACTTACTCTGAACACAGGAGAAAGCCAAATGTGGCATGAATAGGCCTCTACAAGCAGAAAAGATGAAGAGGAATAGATCTAGGTAAACAATTAACACTTTCTGTCACCTGGATGGCTCCCTCCTACCTTGTGGCCTTGTTGTCATACTTGCTGTTTCTTCTGCTTGAAAGACTCTTCCATCAGATCTTTGCTTGGGTGTCTCCCTTTTATCATTGAAGTCTCAGCCCAAATGTCATATTCTTAGAGAATATTTTCATATTCTCTGGCTTCCTTGTCTGGTGACCCCCATCTACCTTAACCTTCACATTACCCTCATTTTCTTCAAAATATTTATCACTATTGTAATTTACCTGTAACATGTTTGTAATCTGTTTCTCCCCACTAAAATGTAAGACCCGTGATCTTTTTCTCTCTTCTGCATCGCTATCTCGCTGCTTGGAACAGTGCCTGGTACATAATAGGCACTCAGTGCCTACTTGTTGGAAGGATTTTGATGACAAATAGCCAGTAAGTCCATTGAGGAAAGATACTCAACATTACTAGCCATCAGGGAAATACAGATCAAAACCACAATGAAGTACCACTTTATATCTGCTAGAATGGCCATAATCAAAAAGAAGATAACAACTGTTGACAAGGATGTGGAGAAATTAGAACCTTTATACACTGTCAGTGGGAAAACCATCTGGCAGTTCCTTAAAAGGTTAAACATAGAGTTACTGTATGATGCAGTAATTCAACTTCTAGGTATGTATCCAAGAAAATTGAAAACATGCATCTGTGCAAAAACTTGTATATGAATGTTCATAATAGTGTTATTCATAATAGCCGGAAAGTGGAAACAGCACAAGTGGTTGTGAGCTGATGAATGGATAAATAAAATGTGGTATATCTACACAATGGAATATTATACAGCCAAAAAAAGAATGAAGTCCTGATACCATGCTACAGCATGGATGAACTTTGAAAACATCATGCTGAGTGAAAGAAACGGGTCACAAAAAACTACATATTATATAATTCCATTAAATAAGATGTCCAGAATAGGCAAATCCATGGAGACAGAAAGATTAGTGGTTGCTAGTTGGGGCTAGGGAAGGAGAAATTCATACTGACTGCTAATGAGTATGGGGTTTCTTTTGGGGGTTGATGAAAATGTTCAAAAATTAATTGTGATGATGGTTGCACAGCTCTGTAAATGTACTAAAAAAATCTTTGAATTGTTCACTTTAAGTGGGTGAATTGAATGGCATGCGAATAACATCTCAAAGTTAAAAAATAAAGAAGGATTGTGATTCTGAATGTGGTCAGGTTAGAAAAAAATCTCTGTAAGAAAGCCCAAGCCCTGTGCCACTCTGTATTCTGGCAGTGGAATCTGTGATTTTCTTCATGGTCAGTAAACACTAATTAAGTTCTTTCTGTGTATCAAGTTATAGGGATGGATATTTAAAAGATACTTTTAAATGAAATATTTTAAAGCTATTTAAATATAATGAATTGTTAAGGCAATCATTCTCATTTATCAACTTTATCAAAGTATAATTCATGTATAATAAAAGATACACATTTTAAGTGTACTTGATAAATATATATACCTAGGTAACTACCACCTCAACCCATTTCCTAAAAAATTCCTTCTCAACCCCTACCCCTGCCTCTGCCTCAAACCAACCATTGATCAGATTTCTATTACTATACTCCACTATACTATTCTATTATTGAACTATTACTATATTATAATTAAACCATATTACTATAGTTTCAAGCATTTGAAATAAAAATTTAAGAAAATCATGACATTTATGTAAACTTGGTTGTGTTAAATTTGTGTGTTTAGAAGAAAAAATATTATTAGATAATTTTTTTAAATAGATGAAAATATTAGTATGAAATATATATCAATATATGAATTAGAACCAGGAGTTCATTTTTTTGTCTCTATAACTGGAATAACATAGAAGTATTGGTAAGGAAAGTTAAATGCAATCATTCAAGGATCTGGTCTAAGAAACTCTAATGTAGTGTTTCTTTCATAGAGTTTTTTTTTTTGACTGGTAAGGGGATTGCAACCCTGAGCACGGTATGGTCTGCACCACGCTCAGCCAGTGAGCGCACCGGCCATCCCCATATAGGATCCGAACCCGGGGCCTCGGCGCTACCAGTGCTGCACTCTCCCAAGTGAGCCAGCGGGCCAGCCCTGTTTTGTGTTTTATTGGGAGCCTTAATAAACTACTCAGAAAAGAAAAATAATCTATTAATTACTTTTAGTATTCTTGCTAAAATACCATGTCTCACTATTGTTACTTTTTGTGTTGTAGCCAAGTGAAGATGCCCCTAATGAATAAAAATATAATTGAACCTAAATATAGAGCTGGCATCAAGGAATAAGATAACTAACATTTCTGTTATAATGAGAGAGATGCACTATGTATACTGAAAATATGATTTTATTTTATGTTACAAAACTTGTTACTCATGTTGATTTACCACTACATGATTCCATCTTTAACTTAGAAAATATATACATTTTAGGGCCGGCCCGGTGGCGCACTGGAGAGTGCCCCGCTTGGGAGCGCGGCGGCGCTCCCGCCGAGGGTTCGGATCCCATGTGGAGACCGGTTCCCACTCACTGGCTGAGCGCGGTGCGGGCGCAACACTGAGGGTTGCGATCCCATTACCGGTCAGTAAAAAAGACAAAAAAGGAAAAAAAAAAAAAGAAAAGAAAATATATACATTTTAACCTTGTAAAAACCTTTCAACGAGCATAGATGTAAGAATTATTATAATAACTTTTTCACTACGCTTGTTTTTTTAATCCTAATAGCTTATATGAAGTGCCAACTCTGAGCCAGGTTCCAAGCTTGGTAATTTACATGCCTTATTTCTAAATCCTCCTAACAACTCTCAGGATCATTTAAGAAGTCTCATCTGAAAAATGATGAAACTGAGGCTAGTGTGGATAAATAATTCATCTAGATGACATAGCCAGTTAGTGATGGGATTGGGATTTGTGGGGAGGGGGAGGATATTTTGGTCATATATATGAAAATAAAAGCTTAGAAGAAAATATAGTTGTATATCTTTATGATATGGGGGTAGGAAAGGATTAAATGAGAAAAATCTCCACCCATAAAGGAAACGATTGATAAATTTGACCATATTACCTTTAAAAATGTATTTAAAAGGACACAATAAATAACAATGGCTATAATTTATTGAATGCTTACCATGCACTAGTGCAGTGCGGTATGTTGTTTGTGGGTACTTAAGTGTGTAGTAAATATATAAAGTCCTATGAGGGAGAGATATGGAAATGATACACAGCAACTTCAAGATGGTCCTTACATCTGGAGAGGAAGGGAAGAGAATGAAAGGGAGAATTTTAGCTATTTCTGTAGCATTGATAGTAAAATTATAATGGTCAAGAGTACAGCCTGCCTATAGCACATCCTAGCTTGTGTAACCCTGGGCAAGTTTCTTAATCTTTCCTTGCCTCAGTTTCCTCTTCTGTAAAATGGGAATATTAATAGTACCTGCTACAGGAATGTGAGTATCAAATGAGTTAGTACATTTAAAGCACTTAGAATAGTGCCTGGCAAGTAGAAAAAGCTCAGTAAATAATACAGTTTCTTTTTTTAGGGCAAATAGAACAAAATGTTAACAATTGTTATGTGTTTTTTTACTGTATACTATGTATGTTTGCAATGGCCGATGACTTAAAAAACTTTTTAAAATTAAAAATCTTGAAAAAAATAAAAATAAATTAAAAATCTTGATCATAATGAGCATTTTACATCTTCATTGGGAGAGGAAGCGAAGGAAACAAACATTAAACAGTGTGTCTCAGAGAAGCATGGCTCATAAAATTTAATGATCAAATTCTCTTTGCAGATAAATTCTAATATACTTCACTGAGCTTACCAACTTGTTGGCCAACAGCCAGTGCTGCTCACATAAACAAAATGTATTGTCCCTTAGAAGCAGGCTTTGTGTGTCTATTATAGCCGATGGAGTTAAACAAACAAAACCTGACTCGTATTGTTTATGCCAAAGTAGTGAAATATATGACTAATCAGCAGACAGGGGAATCATCAGAGGTACTATGCCAACAGAGAGTATAGGTAAACAGTGGAATTTGTCTAAATATTTGCCAGCCATTGATGACCCAAGTATTAAAGTATCCAGAAAAAACTTAATTTCCCTAAGTATCCCCATCTGCTGATGTGAGAGTAGGAAGACTGGGGAAATTGAAGTTTCTAAGGAGTCCATAAGTGTAGGAGTTGAGGCAAGGTTAACATCTATGGAAACGAGAGACAGGCCAGGGTTGCTGTTTGGTAGGGGAAGCAAAAGGAATCAGGAAGAGCAGCTTTCTACTTAGCCAGCCTTGTTCATCTTGAGTGTTTAAATGCAAAATGATGTTTGTGGCCATTTGACAATATTGTTGATGTTTTTGTTAAGGCAGCTAAGAATGGAGCAACAGGTGTGGAGTTGGACATTGAGTTTACTTCTGATGGGATCCCTGTCCTGATGCATGATAACACAGTAGACAGGACGACTGATGGAACTGGCCGATTGTGTGATTTGACATTTGAACAAATTAGGAAGCTTAATCCTGCGGCAAATCACAGACTCAGGTAAGTAGTACATTGTCGCTTAGACCTATCTTTTCGCTTTTATTGAGATCACAGGTAGACACTGGCACCTTCTAATTACATCTTCTGCTTCAGGAGAGTTGTTTTGTTTTGTTTTGTTTTGAACAATAGACAGGTTTCCCAAGTAATGAACAGGTACCAGGAACAACAGAAATATGGTATGTATGTTTTTAATCTTTCCCACTGAGGCCAAATTTGGCCTTGGAATTATTCTCAAGATAATACTCTGTCTAAAAAAAAATTTTTTTTAAATACTCTGTCTAGTCACTAACATGACAGTTACTTTGTACTGTCATTTAAATTATAGAATTATGAGACTGGAAGCAATTGCTTGTCAAACTTCTTGCCTTCAGGTGCATCGTGAAACAAATTATATGTTCTTTAAAATCTCCAAGTAATAATACCACCTTTTAACCTAGCCCTTTTAACTCTTCAGATTTTTATAACAAACTTCTAAGGAATAGTAAAATTCTAGAAATAGAAATATCCTAAAAATCATCTAGAATAGCACCATCCAATAGAACTTTCCGCAATGATGGAAATATTCTGTGCTGTCCAATATGGTAGCTACACATGGCTGCTGAGCACTTGAAATGTAAGTAGTGCAACTGAGGAACTGAATTTTTAATTTAATAAATGTAAATTTAAACTTAAGTAGATATATGTGGCTATCATAGTGGACACTATAGATCTAGATCAATTCTGCCATTAGGGATAATCCCAGAAAAGTTAAATAAGGGCAAATGACTAGTGCTAAAGAAGCCAAAATTAGAATCTAGATAGCCCAATTTTCAGTCCAAAGAAATGTCCACCATACCGTCCAATTTCTGGTTGCCTCCAGTGTCCCTCATTCCTGTAACAGTGAAAGTTATTACAGATGTCTAATCTAATTCCTCATGTAGTTATACCTATATGAGTAGCTTCCAACGTATATATACCAGAGCTAGTCCTATAAGATGTTCCAAAAGAAGAGGGTTCTATGATCAAATAAGATCAAACACTATATTCTGGATACTCCTCTTGGGTTTAAACAGTCCACATCAATCAATTTTTACCTTTAACTTAGAATTTCTCCAGTTTCTATGACCGCAGGACCTACACCCTTCCGCTCATTAACAGCTATAAACACTCTTAGAATTGGTACACTGGTAATATACTTTGGAATGTGGTTGTTTAAGTTCTCCTCTTCTTTCTAATACTAAAAAATGTATTATCACTGTTATTCATGTAATATCAATTCCCTGAACAATGATCATTCCCCTTGAGTGTTTGACCCAGGAATTTAATTATAGGTCTCCCTCAAAGATGATTCACACCTTATTTTCCTAGGATCTGAAAGAAATGAAAGTCAGCCACAGAAAATCATACTGTAGGCTGGAAAGAATATTGATAACACTTGAAAGTTCTGAGTCCAGGCTGGTGGAATGGCTCATTACAGAGCAATGTTTCATTGCTTTGCTGTATTCAAGGGAAAGACTGGTTTTAATATTACAATGACATTGCAGCTAATAAGATGTCAGGTTCAAAGTTTACAGTTAAAGCAAAAAATGCTTAGGGTCATCCTTAAAAAATTCTATAAGAAGGCACCATATTGGAGTCAGTGTACCATCTTAATCTTTAACACAACCAGTCTGCTCCACAGGTGGATTAGGTTGTGCTTTTTTCGGTTGAACACCAAGTGAAGTAATTGACTTGGGTTTAGAGACCATGTTAGAGGAAAAATAAGTATTTTTCTGTAGGATTCTACCCAGTGTAGTGAGATGCTCATCCCAAAGGAGGCATGGAAACTAAGACTGGCCAAAGAAACAGCAGATTCGGGTCTCCCATCTTGCACTCTCATTGACTAGAACAGCTGGCAGAAGTGCCTGTAACATTTAAATATCCTTATCCTTTTTTTAAACTAATATCTTACAGTTGAAATAATATAGTTGAATTAGTATATGGTAAGTCATGTAGAGTGAAATTTCATTATGAGGGAAAAGCTGATTTCTTATGTATCAGGCACTTAATATCCATTTTCTTTATCAGAAAATCACTTATTTTCAACAGTTGCACTTAAAGGCACAACAATCCAATTAACAGATTTATGTATTCCTAGAAATTTCTCCAGCATAGAGTTCTATTTGGAAAATTACAGTCTTGAAATTAAATCTCTGAGTTCTCCAAAGATGTTATATACTCTGCTCTTTGGCAAGTAAGGTTACTAATTATGTTATTAATTCAGTGGAAATTCAGTGATTTCCTAATAATTAAATGATTTTTGTTGATCTTTGTTCTTTGCTGTTCTATGATCATGCATATCTGTGATTTGGTTTAAGTACCCATAGTAAATTATCCTTGGACTTTGATATGGTTAAAGAAAGGAAATCTCCTTTTTCCATTTGCAAAATGTCTTTCACTAAACTTTTATCTTTTTCTCTTTTTCCTACAATGTTCTACTTCTCTTCCCTCTCTTATAGGAATGATTTCCCTAATGAAAAGATCCCTACCCTGAGGGAAGCTGTTGCAGAGTGCCTAAATTATAACCTCACAATCTTCTTTGATGTCAAAGGCCATGCAAATAAGGTATAGTTTATACCACTTTGTTAAAAAGACATTTAATTGCTAGTCATTTCCAAAATTAACTGTATATTTTGTTATTTTTTTTTCTTAAATTACTTTTACAAATTATATTTGCTTAATGGAAGTGTACAATGCAAAAATCCACATCTTTAAGGAAATAGTAAATATGGAACTTTTTAACCTTTTAACCTCTTATGGGCCTTTTAACAACTCCTGATATTCTAAAACCAACACAAAGTGGAAAAGTCAAGTTTCTTTTATTTGCATAAAGCATTTACAAAATATATTACGTAAACAGCAAAGAGGCACAGACCACTCAAGTAACCACACAAAAAGAAATTCAGGAGTTGAACACAAGAACAGTTGCATCTGGCTTATAATTAAGGACTTTTTAGATGAACAACTATGGACTGCACTGAAAGATAATTCCTGTATTTAAAGCTTCTAAGAGCTACAGAATATATGTTTCCTACATAGATTTATCCCTCTGGATGATTTCTATTTCTTATGTATAGTTTCATTATTCAGTGATTTGAGTAGTTATATTTTTATCAGAAAATTACTATATTTTCTTCAAATACATATGACATTCCTAAATAAAATTTTGCTTAAATTTTAGAACATATACGTATGCATAAAGACATATTATTACAATGTATGTAAATCAGTGGGAAAATATGGTTCATCTTACATTTGTTCTCTTACAACCAGCTTTTCGAATACAAATACTTATTTCCCCAGTTGGGCAACTTAAGTAGTTTTCCCCAGGCAATATTTATAATTAGTAATGACCGTCTACTGGTTAAGAATTCTGATGATGCCAATTTTTTGTATTAATTGCAGGATATAGTTGAAACCAGTTGTTAAAACCTGAAATGTGAGCCTATGTACTCTAATTTTGTTACATAAACTCCTATTTTTGAAAAAAGAGAAGAATGGTAACTAATTTATTATTCTGATAAGCTGATAATTGTATACATCTAGGTTTTTCAATAGGTCTGCATCATAATTACCTGAATCCTGTTTAAAAATACAAATTCCTGGACCGTACTACCCAGAGAAAAGATTCTGGAAATGTTTAGGGGTGGGGTCAAGGACATGTATTTTTAATGAGCACCTCAAGTTTTTCATAATGTGGCTGGCCCACATTTGGGAACATTGATAGGTCCTCCATTTCACCCGTGATGTACTGACCTTCATGCTTATTCTCTTAGAGTAAGAAAAAAGAAGAAGAAATGTTTTAAAAAAACATCTAGCTATTTGAGTTTTCTGGATGGATGGTCACAGGTGTTCAGCCAAGATTGGGTAGAACATGGTGTCCTAATTTACCAAAATGGTAGGATAGAGGGGCAAATATTGGCAACAGATTGGAGCTATTGGAGCACAGTAGCCAAGATCATGGGCTTTGGAGTCCAACAGACCTTGACTGAGCTGTGTCACTTACTACAGGGTAACCTTAACCTTGATAACTTTCAGTTTCCTCCTGGGCAAAATGGGGATGATAAAAGAAACTACTACATAGGGTTGTTGTGAGAATTAAATAAATAATGTAGGTGAAGATGTGTTCTTTTTTATTTTGAGGGGAATGCATTTTGAAGCTTATATTTGGTTATGGGTGTGTGTGACATTCCAAAAACGAGTGGTATTTCAAGAATTATGACACAGCAGCATTGTGTTCCACATAATGTCTGATTGAGTGTTGTTGTTGTTGTTGTTGTTGTTGTTGTTGTTGTTGTTAGCTGCTATTGATGTTAATTCACTAGGGGTTATAAAATGTCAGTATTTAAATTCTATCATTTCTTCTTCATTGTTAGCTGGACTCCTACAAAGAGAAACTTCTGTTCATTTGGGGAAGAATTGGGAGACTCCTAACTCCTCCCAGTTTCCCACCTCATCCCATTGCTTCTCCCTCACTGGTGTCTGATGTATATTCTCAGTCCCTTAGACTGAGAAAATCTCCCCTCTGAAGTTCCCAGGCTGTTTGGCTCATGCTTCATCTAGGAAAGGCAGAAGGTGATAGAGTTATGGGTATGAAAGCACTTTTCTTAGTGATTAAACTAGGGTATAGTGAAAGGATTTTAAAATTTTGCTTCTGGCCAACAGCCTGCCTTACTTTCCAAAAGCATGACAGAAGAAGCAAGCCTTTCCACAAGGCAGGAAAGCAGCAGGACCCCAGCTTCTTCCTTGTTTACTACTTGTTTAAAATGTATCCCAGTGGATAATGAAGTCTCCCAATTCTTTGAACATTCCCATTCATTAGTAAACTTCTGCTTTATTTGATAGGGTTGTGCTTAATATGTAATAGTTGTTGGTTGGGACTGTCACATTTCAGTAGATTTTAAATATATGAATCTCTCTGTTTTACAGGCTACTGATGCACTAAAGAAAATATATATGGAATTTCCTCAATTGTACAATAACAGTATGGTTTGTTCTTTCTTGCCAGATGTTATTTACAAGGTAAAATTCGGGATTTTTCTTGAACATGTTAGGTTAGTTGGTGGTGATAATAGCAATGGGCTACATAAGATAGATACCTGCTAAATTGAACTGAATAAAGGTCACAGTTAAGAAGGTCTTCCTCTTTTTTTTTTTTTGGCAGCTGGCCAATAAGTGAATCCAAACCCTTGACCTTGGTGTTACCAGCACCATGCTCTACCAAGTGAGCTAACTGGCCAGCCCAAGAAGCCCTCATTTTAAATTAACAAGAGAAATTCAAAACGGGAAATGTATTCATATCCCATTTTAAAATGCCATGATTCCTCTTTAGCCCCTTCTTTTATCTTGCTTATAGGCTCATTCCAATTACTTTGGAAAACATTTTCAGAACAGAAAAGAATTATGTAGCCCTACTAAGTAACAGCAGTAATAACACTCTTTATTATGGAGAATTTAAAATATGCATAAAAAGAGTAGTACAATGAACTCCTCTTTAACCATGATCCAGCTTGTTTTATCCATACCCCTATTTATCCTCCCTAATGTTATTTTGAAGCAAATCCTTTTACCCATAAAATTTACATTAAGTATCTTTAAAAAGTGATACCTTTTTAAAACATAGTCACAATGGATTTGTCTTATCTAAAAACTATTAACAGTAAGTCCTTAATTTCAAATGTCTAGTCAATGTATAAATTTTCACTTGTCTCAGAAATGTCATAAATGGTTTTTTGTTTGTTTTTTATGAATCGTTCATTTGAATCAGGACCCAGATAAGGTCTCCATGTTATAATTTTAAGTTTTGAAATCTGCAAGTTCTCTGTCTTTTTCTTCCCCCTTGTGATATATTTGTTGGAGAAACTAGATTGTTTTGTAGGGTTTACCCCAAGTATGGATTTTGCTGATCATGCCATGACATAGTTTAACATGTTCTTCTTCTCTTTATTTCCCGAAAATTGGTAGTGAGAGCTAGAGGCTTAATCAGATTAGGGTCGATTATTCTTGGCAAGATAATTTTATAGGTGAGAGTGTTTTCCCATCAGGAGGCACATAACATCTGGTTGACTTTTTTCTTTTTCTTTTTTTTTTTTTTTACAAAAGATGACCGGTAAGGGGTTCTTAACCCTTGACTTGGTGTTGTCAGCACCACGCTCACCCAGTGAGCAAACTGGCCATCCGTATATGGGATCCGAACCCGTGGCCTTGGTGTTATCAGCACCACACTCTCCCGAGTGAGCCACAGGCCGGCCCCTGGTTGACTTTTTTATCGTTGTTCATTAGCTGCTGTTGATGTTCAATGAACAGATCTGTGAATTTACTACAAGGTTGTAAAAAGATGATATTTTAATACTATCATTTCTTCTTTATATATTAGCTAGAATACATGTATAAAAAGAAACTTCTCCCTCTCTACTATTTAGTTACCCAGTAGGCAGGATAAATGCTTAATCTTTCCGTTTACCAAAAATAATGAGTTGGTTCTAAAATAATGCGTTGGTTCTGTAGCATTCTTCAACAGTGACCAACAGAGCATACATTTAAAATGTTTAAGGAAAAAAAAAAAAAAAAAAGGGGGCCGGACTGGTGGCACACTCGGTAGAGTGCAGTGCTTGGGAGCGCGGCGGCACTCCCGCCGGGGGTTCGGATCCCATATAGAGACCGGTCCGCTCACTGGCTGAGCGCGGTGCGGGCGCTACACTGAGGGTTGCGGTCCCGTTGCCGGTCGCGGTACGGGCGTGACACTGAGGGTTGCGATCCCGTTACCGGTCACGAAAAAAGACAAAAAGGAAAAAAATAAATAAATAAATAAAATGTTTCCAGTGAGGGTGGAGCATATTCTCATTTTAAAGATAGGATTGCCATTCTTTTAGGATTGTGAGAAAAGGTGTTCTCAGTTACACGACATATTAAACACTTTACATCCATTACATTATTTTCTCAAAGGGTTTATGATAGAGGACTTACTTAGTAGGCATGGGAAGAAGGTACCAACAATGACCCCTACATCACAGTGAGCCCTTTGGCTAAACCTATACTATTGAAAAATATTAGACTTAAAATATGACAATTATTTTATTTTCCAAAATTCTTTTTCAGATGAGACAAACAGATCAGAATGTAATAACAGCTTTAACTCACAGACCTTGGAGTCTTAGCCATACAGGAGATGGGAAACCACGCTATGATGCTTTCTGGAAACATTCTATGTTTGTGATAATGGACATTTTGCTTGATTGGAGCCTGCATAATATCTTGTGGTACCTGTGTGGAATTTCAGCTTTCCTCATACAAAAGGATTTTGTATCCCCGTAAGTTGGAAGGTTTTTTAAATCTTCTCCTGACACATTTCCTGAATGCTCTTTTTGGAAAAGAAGGATTCACAAAGTGGACAGCCTGAATTGGTTCTGACCTATAAAGCCCACGTGGCCTTGGAATGCCACTAGCTTCTTAGATGGGAAGAGTTCAGGCATATTTGACTGTTTTTAAAACAGATTGATCAGATATTCTTAGTTTTTTAGTGCATTTCATAGAAAAAATGAACCTACCAAACTATGGTGAGAGAAGGATTTCAGTTCTTGTGATTGCCTCCTTTTGAAAGCCAGCACAGGATCTGGGGCAGAGCCACAGTGAAGACATCCCATGGGCAACAACCTGACCCCTGCCATTTTTCCTGCTACTCTCCTGTATATCCTAGGCTTTGCTCCATCTCTTCCAAGAAACTTTCTGTTCCCCAACTGCTAGCAATCTCCGAATCTTACTTCGGGCAGTTTTATAACTGTATATTTCAGCTAATTAGCGTTGTAAGTTTCATATTATTTCAGGCATTCAGTAAATATTTGGTGAGTGCCTATAGTGTTACAAGATACTGTACTAAGAAGCTCAAGATGCAGTGGTGAAGAAACAAAGCCATGGTCTCTGCCCTCACGAAGTTTATAGTTGAGTGGGAGAGAGAGATGCTAATCAAGTAAAAATCCAATAAATATAAAATTCAGCTAAGATACATGCTGTGTGGGAGAGAACAATGTGCATAGACTATATAATCTAACTGAGTCTGTGTAGTCAGGGAAAGCATCTTCTAGAAAGATCTGAAGGGTGAGTAGGAACTGGGGGGGATCTAAACAGAGGGAAAAAATACGTGCAAAAACAAGTATCGTGTCAGGAAGGAGCATGGGTCTTTCTGCAGCACAGAAAAGAAAGGGGAACTGTTGTGTGAGATGAGGCCAAAGAGACAGGGGCTAAGCCACGCATGATTTCAGTGGTCTGTGTCAAGGACATTGTAGGTGGATGGGAGTCATTAGCAAGCCGCTGAAGTGTTTTAAGCTGGGACAATGTGGAGGAGGTTCACGGCATGCTGGGTTTTGGAACATTCCCTGTGACTGCAGTGCGGGGGCTAGGTAGGAGGCAATTTCTGAGCACTCTTGGTACTCAGAGAACATCGTACTTAGTGGCATTATAGATTCCAGGGACACCTGGTCATTATTCTAACAGGATTGTTTTTTCCTCTTTCTCCAGGAACTACTTGAAGAAGTGGTCAGCTAAAGGAATCCAGGTTGTTGGTTGGACTGTTAATACCTTTGATGAAAAGAGTTACTATGAATCCCATCTTGGTTCCAGCTACATCACTGACAGCATGTTGGAAGACTGCGCACCTCAGTTCTAGACATTTACCTTGGGAAAGAAACCCAGGTTTAGAAAATGCCTGCTGGCCTCATGTAGGGATATGAAAATGCCCTTTGTGCTAGCCCAAGCCCAGGGGGATTTGGTTGCTCACATAAGCAATAGTTGGTAATTGCATTTTTACTTGAACCAAAGCAAAGCCCAGTGTGGCCACCGCACTCCATGGAATTCCTGCGTTCAACACTGTTGCTCTTGAAAATCTGGGTCTGAAAAATGGCACAGCAGCTCCTGCCCCATCCTGGTGGAGGCATACACCAAGACCCAGTGAGGATAGGCGTAGACCGAGTTGTACAATTTGGGGATGCAGATTTAAATGCATGGGACATGCATGATCACTCGGAGCTGACATTTTAAAACTGGCCACACTTAAGTAATTCACTTATTTCAGATATTTGTATTCAGCTGTGTTAACAGTGTACTGTAGATGTCAAACTTGTGACTATACTAATAAAATCATTAAAAGGGAGCAGTAAAGGAAAACTGTGTGGCAGGCATCATATCCTAAGGCGTAAGGAATTTGGGGAAGCCGCTATGTACCATCCAGTGAGGCCTCAATGTGCAGCAACCAAAATGATAGGGAAGTGTTGAAACCCATCTGAGGAATTTTTTACAGCATCTTGCAATAAGAGCCACAAACCACCAGGGGGCAGAGTTGCACTTTTCCAGGCTTTTTAGGAAGCTCTACAACAGATGATCGTAGACAATTAGAACTGGAAGAAACTTCCAAGAACATCTAGGTTTATCCTTATTTTACAAATGAGAAAACTAAAACCTGTGGAAGGAAAGGAGCTGCCTAAAAACCACACAGCTGGGGATGTAGCAGAGCCTGATCTCTTGATAACTAAGATTTCTTGTTTACTGTTGGCCAGGAAATGTACAAGGGGTTTAATATGTGTTATTTTATTCAGCCCTCACAAAAATCTTATAAAGGTGTTATCATTCTCTTTTTACTGATGAGGAAACCAAGGCACTGCAGAGTTAAAGTCACTTACCCAGGGTCTCTGAGTCTGTGATACAATTGGTATTCAAATCCAGGTCAGTCTGACTCCAGAGCCATTGCTCTAACTACTCACCATGTCTGCCTTTCTAATGTACAGCCCTTGATCCCAACTCTGCTCTTTCCCGTGTGAACTTCAGTAGTTTTATTGTGAACTTAAGTAGCAATATTTAAAATGAAGTTGAATTTTTTAAAAATGGCAAAGCTGTCTCTCTCTAGTTCACCCCCTCCCACCTTTCAACCCCGTCGGTGACCTTTATCAGAGGCCACAACTCAGCCATGGCTTCCCTTCTGCAATCCCTCCGATCGGTCACCAGCCTCACACTTGCTGCAGCCAGGCAGTATGAGTTTTGGGAGGTCACTAGTCCACACAGCTAGGTGGAAGGAGCAAACTGATTATTGCTACAGTTAGTATTGGCAGGGGCATGATACATAGGACTTGGAATGTTTTCAATCAACATTTGCAAAGAATTTTCTGGTATTTTAAAATTAACAACAAAGATTTATTCCATCAATGCAACAAATGTCTAAACTGCATGTACCTCCATGGCATGTTATGACTCGAGTGACTGGAGGGAGGAAAAAGTGACCAAAGAAAACATGTCTGTGGACTGAATGCAACCTGGGGTAACTACTGAGAATGCACAGCAACTGACAGGGAAGGCTTTCTCTTGGGGGCAATGTGGAGTTAATAATATCCCTTCCGTTGTGTCTCTTCGCTTCTAGAGAGCCAGGTGCTCTGTGTCTCAACTTCTGTCCCAAATCCATTTTGCCCTTGACTCAGCCGGCCCCAATTATGGATTTAGGTTCTAGGCTAAGGTGGTCAGGGCCTCAAAGTGGAAAATTTGGGTGAAGAAAGAAGGTGTTAATAATTACTATTAAGCGCTTCCTTGGAAGGCTTAATAGAACTTAGGATTTGGGATCAGAGAAAGCTAAGTCTGAATTCCTGATCAGCAATTTATTAGCTATATAACCTTGGGCAAGTTGCTTAATTTATCTATAAAATAGAGGTAGTGGGCCGGTCTGGTGGCGCACTGCTACAGTGCACCGCTTGGGAGCGCGGCGGGAGCGCCGCCGAGGGTTCGGATCCCACATACAGACCGGTTTCCGCTCACTGGCTGAGCGAGGTGCGGGCGCAACACCGAGGGTTGTGATCCATTGCCGGACACGAAAAAAGACAAAAAGGAAAAAAAAAAATAGAGGTAGTATTGGTACCACCTCATGGGGTGACTGTGATTAAATGGAAGAGTGCATGAAAAATGCATGTTAATTAACATTTACTGACTGTCTACCATGTACTAGACACTGTTCTAAATGCTTTTCATGTATTTACTCTTTGCAACAACACTATAACGTAGGTACCACTATAATTCCATTTTATAGTAAAGGAAACCAAAACACAGGGAAGTTAAGTAACTTGCCTAAAGTCACATAGCAGAGCTGCCTGTTTAGCTCAATTGGTTAGAACGCTGTGTTGTAACAAGGTTAAGGGTTCAGATCCCCATACCAGCCAGCCACAAAAAAATAGTCACACAGCAGTGATAGAAAAAAGATTCAGACCCAGGTGATCTGGTTCCAGAGCCCACGCTTAACCCTTGTTTATCATCATGTCTGGCCCATAGCAAGGACTCAATAATGAAAAACATCTTAATTATTTCCAACACCTATTACAGTGCCAGTCACATAGTAGATGCTCAATAAATGTTTGTTGAAGGAATTAATTATGGGATATCCAAGTGGAAACTTCCTTGAGGAAACAAGTTAGACCTAGAGTGAGATGAAAATTTAGGCCTGTAGATAAGTGATTCAGTATTCAGCAGCATCGAGGGGCTAGCCAAAGTCATGATAGTATTCTTCCTGAGAATATCAATATAGATTAAAGTCACATACTCTGCTTTCATTGGACTGCCCCTCTGTGCCTCAGGATGTCAGAGACATAGATGATAACAAAGGGCTACCTCAAAAGGCTTAAGAAATCCACTGCTTCTTGATTATACAATATTCATTTTCTTATTTGGAGATGGGTGTCTGCAATCCTGTTTCAACAAGAATCAAACCAAAATGTAAGTATTTTGCAATTTTTTTTTTGTTGGTTGGTACAGAGATAAACCCAGACCTTGGCATGATCAGCACCACACTCTAACCAACTGAGCTAACTGGCCAGCCTGTAAGTATTGTTATTGAATACAAATTTCTCAATAAAATTACACCTACCATTTCCTAAAGTAGGGATAGGGCTTCAACAGGACAATAAACCACAGCTTTGAGAACAAGGAAGGGTATAGGTTAGTGAAGTGTCCAACTGATACCAGTCAGCAGTTCCAGGTTCTTGGTCAAATTGTGAAGAAAAGGACCAAGAGGAGCCCTCGTTGTGGGGAGCACCTACCAGTACAATGAAAGGAAGAGGGACAGACAGTTGAAACAAACAATAGGGCTTTATTGCAAAGCAAAAGTATGCATGGGAGAGTGCATGGGCATCTTTGCAAGGGAGGAACACACCATGGATTCTTAAGGGGAGGGCTTATCTGTTGTTCTGAGATGGAAGTGTTCCTCTCTCCTAACTCACGGGAGGAATATTTGGCCATGGGTGAGGATCTAGGGTAATTAAGCCCTAACGGGCTGATACAAAGTTGTATCAGCTTCCTGTCCTGAATTCCTGAGTTTCTGAAGGTTTTGGTCATGTGCTGTGGGGTCACTTTTCCCTTAACTTTGTCCTTGGTTTAGTCTGCACTTTTGTTCTTCCTAGTGTGCAGGTTTTTGTGGTTTTAAGTTTCTGTTCAAAAACTGCAAAGTTGTAGGTGTAGCATGCTGATCGGTAGCGTGGTTAAGCTGTTGTGAGCTCATTATGGGTTAATTAACTGCAAAACGAGGTGGCTGATGCCAATCCAGACTGAATATTCATGAGCAGCCTCCCTGGGGTGTGTGTCTATTTTGTCCTGCCTCACAATTACTTAGACCTGTGTTAGCATGGAATGATGTTTACTGTAGGGTAAGCTTATGTGAATTCTATGATCATAGATACTGCAGATTAATGACCTCATTTGTTCTATTGCCAAACTTTAAATCATGCTCAAAATCCAACAATCAGAACATCAAATATTAAGAAGACGTTGTGTATCACCCAGGCTCAGTGGTTCTCAAAAGATGCTGTCTTTTCAGATATTAATTCAACACCAACATTATGGGGAACTTGTTGAAAATGCAAATTCTCAAATCCGACACCAGAACTATCAAATTAGAAACTCTGTTTGGGGCTCAGTGATCTGTGTTTTATTTTATTTATTTATATATTTATTTATTTATTTATTTTAAAAAGATGACCGGTAAGGGGATCTTAACCCTTGACTTGGTGTTGTCAGCACCACGCTCACCCAGTGAGCTAACCAGCCATCCCTATATGGGATCCGAACCTGTGGCCTTGGTGCTATCAGCACCACACTCTCCCGAGTGAGCCACGGCCGGCCCGTGATCTGTGTTTTAACCAGCCCTCCAGGTGGTTCTGATGTACACTCAAGTCTGAGGACTGCTGATGTAGAGAAACAGACCCAAAACGGGCTTCCAGGACACCCAAAGTCCTCAATTCTGTCACTAACTAGCTATGAGACCTTAGACAAATCACTTAACCTATGAGTGCCTAAATTTTCATCATCTGTCAAGTGGTAATCATAATACGAGTATTTGCCCTAATTGTCTTATGCTGATAATGTGATGAGGTTCAAATGAGGGAAAAAAAAAGTGACAATGTTTTGAAAAACATGTTAACAATGTAATATTATTGTTACAAAGATAAAATTTTAAAATGTAGAAATACTGTAAAACCATACTACTCAGTGTGATCCTCAGACCTTCAGCACTTGCTAGAAATGCAGACTCTCAGGCCCCATCTCTGACCTCACAAATTAGAATCTGCATTACAACAAGATTCCCAGTGATTAGAGTTGGTGTGTCCCCCCGCCAAAGTTCATATGCTGAAGTCATAATCCCCAGTACTTCAGAATGTAACTGTATTTGGAGATAAGGTCTTTAAAGAGATAATTAAGTTAAAATGAAGCCATTAGGGTGGGTCCTAATTCAGTCTGACTGGTGTCTTTATAAGAAAGAAAATTTGGACACAAAGAGACACCTGAGAGGTTTGTAAACAGAGGAAAGGCCATGTGAGGACACAGCAAGAAGGTGGCCATCTGCAAGCCAAGGAGAGAGGCGTCAGAATGAAACCAACCCTGCCAACACCTTGATCTTGGACTTCCAGCCTCCACAATCAAAAGAAAATAAATTTTTGTTGTTTAAGCCACCTAGTCTGGGGTATTTTGTCATGGCAGCCCTAGCAAATGAATATACCTCTCAAGGCCAAGTGTTGAAAAAACCTCTTTCTCCCATCCAATGTGTGCATGAGACCTACAGACTAGATCTTTCCACTGCGCTTACATCTCCAGAAGCAGGGCTGCACTGAAGTAGAGACAAAGGGTGGAGGTGAATGGAGATGTGTTCCAGGTAGAAGCACTTAGCCCATGGTAAGCAGGAGTGATGCTTTCATTTTTTTTTTTTTTTTTGTCTTTTTCGTGACCGGTAAGGGGATCGCAACCCTTGGCTTGGTGTTGCCTGCACCGCGCTCAGCCAGTGAGCGCACCGGCCATTCCTATATAGGATCCGAACCCGCAGTGAGAGCGACGCTGCGCTCCCAGCGCTGCACTCTCCCAAGTGTGCCACGGTGCCGGCCCTGGAGGAGTGATGCTTTCAGAAGGAGTTTGCATTGCAGTGTAGAAGCCAAAGCAGCACAAATAGCATTAAGATGACCCAGAGGGAAAAAAATCACTTCAAACATCAATTCCACGAGCTACCTTTACCAATCCCACAGACATTTCTGTCCAAACCCCTGTGCTTCTCCTTCAGAACACCTATCACAATTACAACTAATTATTGTTTAAGTTCATGTCTAAATTAATCTGCTAGACAGGAAGCACCAAGACTTGTTCACCATGTTGTTCAACCACCACCTGGCCTATTTGTTGAATGAATGAATGAATGAATGAATGAACACTACTAGCAACCACTACTAAAGAGGATACAAAAAGAAATTAATTGTTAATGAAGTGAATTAAAGAATAAATACGTGAATGAAAAAGTGAATCAATGACAGCACTGATTGGTTGCTTTTGTTTCGCGTGTATCTTAAATGCTTTCTAAATCCAGTTTCAATTAGATCTCATCACAGCGGTTACTTCAGAGGAGTCTCCTCTCCCCTGTGTGATTCGGTAATTGCACCTTTCTGCTGGACCCTTCAAGCTTTAGGAATAGCCTTGTGAGTCATTTGTCAAATCTGCAAAAAAAATTATATACACACACAAATTCATAACATATGCACACACACATATTCCACACATCACCACTGATTTCATATTTGGTTCAACACAAGACTTTTGATGGTGATGTATCATCTACTTGACATGCAATAAACTTCAGAGATGAGACCTCTGTTTGTATTTTACATTTGTGTGACATGGGGATGTTTTTAGCTCAAAGTCACAAACAAATGCAGATTCCACAATTCAAAGGCTTCACACCTGTGTGAGGATCATTTTTTATTCGGGCTGGTCCACTTTTCTTAGCACCAGTTTCTAAACTTTTGCCAGGTCTGGGAGGTCTGGGAAAAGAGATTCCTAAAGACCAATCATTCATACACACATTTCTTAAACATAAAATAAACCATTCCCAGGTTGTCTCTTTCCAGGTTTTTGTGGGCTAGTTTCAATATTACAACAGTCTTTATTGGAAAATTCCAAATATTTAGTCTTGAAAAGTCAGCAATCCAGGTATAAGAAATAGCAGGGAATGCATAACTTTACTTCGGTATTTACACTGTGATAGGTTTCCACTCTTGGCTAACGGCTTGGATTCCTCTTCTGGGAAGTTCCTCGAGGCCCAGTTGGCATGGAGGAAGTTGTTCCATTTTTATCTTCTTTCCTTATTTGATTGGTGTCTGGCTACCACAACAGTCATCAGACCTTTGAATTATCTTCCTGAACCGATCGCCTAAATCGCAGGTCTGGGTTGGACACAGGAAGAAGTTAATGCAGACACACGCTGCCCTATCTCCACAAGCAAAAAACCAAAGTGGCCTTCAAGATCCCACAGCTTCTCACACCTTGCTTCTCACACCTTCCATCCTCCTTTTTAGTTTCTATAATCCCCCACTTGCACACCCATAATTAGACATCATCAGTAAATGCTACCCGAAAAAGACAAATGGGTTTGTTTGTTTCCTCCCCAGCATTCGCTTCCCTTCTGGCATCATCCCAGCTTTTCTTTGGGAAGCCACCCTGCCCTACGATCAGTCCCTGTGGTCTGAAACATTGCACCACCTGTATCTACAGATGTGGCATGTGACTCATATCTGTCCAAGGCAATCATCACATTTTCATGGCCATAGCAATTGATTCATGGGTGTCCACACCACCCATTCAGATCCAATGAAACACTGTGACAACTCTGTGTCTGCCACTCCCTTCCCACCAGATTGAATTTGAGAAGATACAGGAAGTTGATAAAGCTGTCTTGCAATTATTAGCAAGAGCCTATTTGCAAAAGGAACTAACATGGAAAAGAAGTGAACAGAAAGAGACCAGCTTCTGGTGACATCGTGAGCTCCTGCTTTAGGCCATGCCTTAACCAAGAATTATTCTTGGATTTCTGCTTAAACCAGTTCGGGTTGAGTTTGCAATTGAAAGAGCAACTTGATAAGGGAGCAAATCTAACCCTCTACCTTGGGATAGATCACCTGGACAAATTAGTGTTTCATTCTGTGCCAGTTAGGTTACTCACCAGGCATAGCATCATGTTCCCCCAAATGCAGAGGGCCTTTTTGCTGAAAAGGAAGAAAATGGGCAGCCACATCACTGGAAGAGAATATAGATCTTGGGTCTTATTGCATCGCTGGTACAACTTGTGAGCCCCCCCACCATTTTAAAATTAAGGGGGAACAGATTAAGACCAAGCCTCAGCCATAGATATCAAACATATTTCACTTTTTAATGACAGAGATTCCATTCATTCGTTCATTTGTTCATTTACTCCACAGACATATCTTCAGCATTTACAATATGCCAGGTAATATACTAGGATCTGGGGTGACAAGGATACAGACGTGGTCCCTGCCCTCAGAGAATTTAGAGTTGGGCCTCTAGATTCTCCACCTAAATCGTGCTGACAGCACTAATTCGTACAGATAGTAAATTACATGGCCATCTCTTTTGCCAAGGTCGCAACTTCCAAAATTAGTGACATTTGAATTAAGGTGTGTTTGCTGTTTACTCATATTTTCCAGGACACCAAGGCAGCCAGCAAGGGCTTTGGAATTAGAGCAGGGTTTGAGGCATCTTTATTATCCTCTTGGTAGGAATGAAATTGGTAAAATCTTTTTAAAAGATTGATAAAGCAGTGTCTATTCACATTATCATGCAGATAATGATATTTCCTCCCTGTGGCAGAAATATTCACGTAAAATAATTACAACAAAAATGTTTCCTTACATACTGTTTTTAGTATTTAAAAAAACCTGGAAACATGGGGGAAGGGGGAGAGGGAGAGATTGGATAAGAGGCATAAAGAATAAGTATGATTTGATTTTTAATGATGAATATGCTAATAAAAAATTTTTTAAAAACCTGGAAACAACTCAAATATCCAAGTATGTACAGAACGAAACATTGGCCTAGATATGGCATTAAGTGTGTGTGTGGGGGGGTTATAATACTCTTTGTATAATATAGCCCCATTTTGTAACATATAAATTCATTGAAGTGTTAGTAGACACAGGTATGTTCGCAGATCCCTAGGGGAAAAGATCTGGAAGAATATGTGCGGAAGCATTAACAGTGGGATGAGATTTCAGGGCACGTTTTCATCTCAGTGGGTTATACGTCTGTATTATTGAGGTCTATAAAACAAGCATGTGAGCTCCGTGAGGTCAGGCGCTTTGTTTTGTTCACCCAACCCCAGCTCCTCAAACAAGTCCAGGCATGGAAAGTGTTGAGTGAGTGAGTATTGTTTTTTAAATAAAAAACACAGAAACACTTAAACATAGAAAGTGAAGGGTCTCTAGTTCCCTGATGTACTTTTCACAAGGGGCAATCCATGTCCCAGGGGTTCCCAAAACAGCCCCCAGCCTCACCTCCATCTCCCTCCCTTCCAGTATGAGTGAGCTGGGGTTTGCTCTCTTCTCCACATCCTGCAGCTTGATCAACTTTTCTATCAGGAACATTTTATCTTTGCCCTCCTGCCAAGAAATAAAGCATAAACAAAAACACAGATGAATGATGGTGTGGGGTTGAGAAGCAATTGATGAAAAGAAGGTTGACTTTTGGGCAGGTAGGGTCCCAGAAGTTGGATGGAGATTGCTACCATGTTTTTTCTTGATGAAAGAAAAGAAACATTTCACAGCAAAGCCAAATTATCCCCCAGAACCATCCTGCATTGTAATATTCTCCTCTAAAGCAATTTCCCTAGCAGGCTTGAACAGGAGCCTTCTCTAGCCTGCTGCTAGAAGCAACTTCTTAGCATATTCCCAGCCCATTCTGAGCCTGGATCAGCCCTGTCCTTCTGAAAATGCCAGAGCCTAGACCTCTGCCCCTAAGGACATCAAGTGTGTTTCATTTGTCAAAGTTATCTCTGTTGATGGAGATAAATAATTCCAAATTGGGAAAAGAAACAAGCGAAGGAGGCATGCCTTCCCCCAGGAGGGTTTAATCACTTTCCTGTGAACCCCTGCTGCAAATAAGAGAGTAGAATATTCCACTTGTGTGTTTAGGTGGGTGAGCAAGCACCTTAGGTTGTCTGTCCAGTCTAAATCAATCATGGTGGTCCCATCCCCATGCCTCTGCTTCTCAAACTTTCATCCACTAATTTTAGCATCCACTAATGGATCTTGCTTATCATAGTTATTACTGTGGCACTTGCCTCAAGAAGATTTTCTATTTCCTCATTCCTTCTACATTTATTATTTGGAATTCTTCTGTAAGAAAGAGCTGTCCTTGGGAGCTGGTATTTTTAATGAGTCCCCCAACTATCTTGGATGTAGCCAACTTGTTTAGAAATCTCTGGTGCGTAGCAGCTATTTCCACACTCTAGCATGAATTTGAATTACCTAGAGAGTGTGCAAAAATGTAATCTCTTATGCTTTACACAACAGATTTTTATGTAGAGAGGCAAAACTGTATTGTAGTTAAGAGTGCAGGCTTTGGAGCAGCCTGCTTCAAATCCCACCATTTACTAGTTCTGTCACTTCACTCTGTGAGTCTCAGTGTTCTTAATTTTAAAATAGAAGTTTAAAGAACTGTATGTGCCCCAGAGTAGTTAAAATTAAATAAGAATTTTGTTTAGCACTTAGAATAATGCCCGGCATCATGAAAGTGCTCAACAAATGTTATCTGTTGCCATTAGTGGTTGGGTGAAGGGGTAGCAGGAATTTTCATTTATAAACAAGCATCCAGGTATGTTTGATGTAGGTGATCACATGTGGAAAAGGGGTGTTGCAGAGCCTATTCCCAGCCTTTTTGTCTGAGTTCTTTTGGAGACAATGTCCCTGACTATGTGGTCCATCCTCTGGGCAAGACTCCCAAGTAGACAGGATAATGCTATGGTGATGCCTATTGTGCCTTCAAAGATGCCATCCAAATATCTCCCCAGTTTACCTGGCACTGTCCTTACAACTCAAGGTTTTGGAATAAAATCCCTCCTGTGTTGAGATCTTCATAGTACTTGCCCAAACCATACAGAACTCTGGGTGAGAAAAATGCTGCTGATGTTTCTGAAGACAATGAGGAAAAAGAGCATAAGTAATCTATGCCCTTTCTTTACATTCCGAAAGGACCCCAAAGACTGGGAGTTCGGCATCTTTCCTGTGCTCTTTGACACAAGCTCTCATGTCATAGTTATGTGGGCACTTAGAAGAAAGAGAACCATCTTGGTGGTAATGAGCATCCTTGTGCCCAGACTTTGGTCTCTAAATACCATTTCACCAGGACTCCTTGAAGAAATGGCTGATTCCTGTTCTGGGACAGGAAATGAACAAAGATGAACCTGGAATATCTTGTCCTTTCAGAAAACAATGAAGCTATCAAAGACTTCTAGAGTTATGTCAAAAAACCCAGAAACTAATTCAAAGGGTTTCCACTAGCAAAGGACAAAGCTATTTGAGCATTTAAAAAATGAGTAATTAAAAGAAATCAAAATATATATAAGCCATGAATTTATCATAATTTTAAAATCCTCATTGGCTATATTTGGAGGTTACCAGGTATAGAGGGTTGAATAGTGTCCCCCTTTTAAAAAGAAATGTCCAAGTCGAACCCCAGGACCTATGGATATGGCCATATTTGGAAATAGGGTCTTTGCTGATGTGATTAAGTTAAGGATCTTGGGATGAGATCATCCTAGATTAGGGTGAACCCTAAGTCCAATGACAAATCTTTAGAAGAGAAGAGAAGGAGAAACAGAGAAAGAGAAAAGGATTTGTGAAGACAGAGGCAGAGACTGAAGTTATGAAGCTCCAAGCCCAGGAACACCAAGGGTTGCCAGCAGTGGCCAGAAGCCAGGAGAAAGGCCTGGATCAGATTCTCCTTCAGTGCCTCAGAAGAAACCAGCCCCACTGACACCTTGATCTTCGACTTCTGACCTCTAGAACTGTGAGATAAGTCTCTGCTGTTTTAAGCCACTAAGTTTGTGGAAATTTGTTACAGCAGCTTTAGCAAACTAATACAGTAGGACACTGATTTATCATTTTGAAAACCAGTAAATACAGTTGACCCTTGAACAAATCAGGGGTTGGGATGCCAACCCCTGTGCAGTTGAAAATACACATATAGGGCCAGCCCCGTGGCTCACTCGGGAAGAGTGTGGTGCTGGTAGCACCGAGGCCATGGGTTCAGATCCTATATAGGGATGGCCAGTGTGCTCACTGGCTGAGCGTGGTGCGGACCACACTGTGCCGAGGGTTGCAATCCCCTTACCGGTAAAAAAAGAAAGAAAATACACATATAACTTTTGACTCCCCCAAAACTTAACTACTTAACTACTTTAACTACTACTTAGTTAGTATGCTTGCTTTCCCTTGGGTCACAGCTGCAACACACTGCTTCAAGTCCCATAGGGGTGGTGGGTGCCCTGTTATTACTTAAGGACCAGTTAAGTAGTTAAGTATGTAACTACTTAACTACTCAAAGCCAATTGTTAGTTAGGCTACTTAACTGTTTGGTTAGGTGTATGTCATAATGACGTATACTTAACCAAACAGTTAAGTAGCCTGACCAAAACTTTTCCAATATATTTATTGAAAAAAAAATCCATATATAAGTGGACGTGTGCAGTTCAAGTCTGTGTTATTCAAGGGTTTGCTATAAAGGGAAATAACCACATATTTACTCTGCCTTTTCTATATGAACTGCATTTCAAGGCAATCAAATTACTAATGAGCAGAAATTCTTTTTTAAAAAAATAGAATTCCGGGCCGGCCTGGTGGCACACTGGATAAGTGCGCCGCTTGGGAAGCGCGGCAGCGCTCCCGCCCGAGGGTTCGGATCCCACATGCAGACCGGTTCCCGCTCACTGGCTGAGCGAGGCGCGGGGGCAACACCGAGGGTTGCAATCCTGTTGCCGGTCCCCGGTCCGGTACGGGGGCAACACTGAGGGTTGCGATCCGTTGCCGGACACGGAAAAAGACAAAAGACAAAAAAAAAAAAAAAAAATAAAATTCCAGGGCCGGCCCGGTGGTGCACTCTGTAGAGTGCGGCGCTTGGGAGCGCGGCGGCGCTCCTGCCGAGGGTTCGGATCCCACATGCAGACCGGTTCCCGCTCACTGGCTGAGCGAGGCGCGGGGGCAACACCGAGGGTTGCAATCCTGTTGCCGGTCCCCGGTCCGGTACGGGGGCAACACTGAGGGTTGCGATCCGTTGCCGGACACGGAAAAAGACAAAAAGACAAAAAAAAAAAAAAAAAAT